CACAAGGACAACCACAATCGCAACCGCAAGCATCAGCACACATGTACGCTTGAGTGTACTCACAAGCTTTGCTGTAAGCGCAGACAGAGTCTAGAGCGGCGTGGCATTCGCGAGCATCATCGTACGCACAGGCAGTACAGCGCCACAGACGCAGCCATTAGCAACAGCGTGCACATACACATGCGTATGCACAACGGCATACTCACGAACACGGGTACGCACACGGGCAAATATGATGTTAATGCGCATGTCGTACGGATGTGGTAACGATGAAGAGGATGACAAGGATGAGGGGGGAGGGGAGGAGGCATGAGGAGGAAGGGGGAGAAGGGGAGAAGGACGCGGAGTGGTGCAGATTCAAAGCGAGGACTCAACACCGCACGATGGCTGGGGAATTAAAAAACATATTGAAAGCTATCTTGATTCATATTTCGGCTAGATTACAGAGTTTCATCTTGGAGGCCATTTTGGGCTAGCTGGGGCCCTCCTGGGCACAATTTGAGCCCCGTTGGACACCCCAACGCGTCGCGAAACCCGTATGCCGACCCCAGTAGAGGGGATAGGAGGGAGAGGGGTAAACCCCTCTCCCCGAAGGGGAAGAAGGAGGGGGGCTGGACGAGGAAGCGATCTAAACCACCTGCGCCCAGAGGGCTGGTAGGATCCGTTGCTTGACGTTGTCCCTGCCTCCATCTCCTCCCTCCTCTCTCCCTTCCCCTCCCTTTCTCCCTCCTTCCCTCCCTCTCCTGTCCTGCCTCCTCACTCCCTCTTCCCCCCTAGCCCAGCTCTGACCCGAAACTTCCTCACCGTCTACACCCCTCAGACCTCCTTACCGCTTCCACGAAATCGGGCTCTCGATTCGACGTTGCTTGCATCCCTCGGGCAAGGGAGCCCCTGGACCCCCTTCTGGGAGCAAGTTCCGAGAACAGGAGTGCAGATGTGTGATCAAATATGTAGTGCGGTCATGACCCAGCGCCTCCCTCCTCCCTCCTCCCCCTTGGAGCCCACGTGTGCGAGGATGCCTCTGCAGGCCAGTTCACTCGGCCAGTCCTCCCTCTCGGAGCTCAGAGTTGCGAGGGCGTCGCAGGCGAAACGGGCGGGACCACTGGGCGCGAGGCGCCTCTGACCCCAGTATCAAAGAGGACATCTCTGGCGAGACGTACCACACCACCTCGCGAGCGGCATCTCGGAGCCCAGGGGTGCGGGGATGTCACAGGCGAAACGAGCCCGAGCATCTTGCGCGCGGCATCTTGGAGCCCAGAGTTGCGAGGACGTCCCAGGCGAGTCGGGTTGGACCACCTCCCGCCCGGCACCTCGGAGCACAGATCGATGTCTCACGCGAGTCGGGCTGGACCTCCTCGCCCGTGGCATCTCGGAGCCCAGAGCCGCGAGGATGTCACAGGCGAAACGAGCCCGAGCATCTTGCGCGCGACATCTCGGAGCCCAGAGTTGCGAGGATGTCTCAGGCTAGTCGGACCGGAACACCTCGAGTTCTGCATCACGGAACCCAGAGTTGCGAGGGTGTCTCAAGCGAAATGGGCTGGACCAGCTTTCGTGTTTGGCCATGTCTCTGCGCGCCAGTCCTTGGGCCCGAAAGAACTAACTCTTACCACAGAGGAACCTCAGTCAGCACAGATGGCTGGGCAAGCGCGAGATCTGAGGATATCTGATTCCGGTCAACTTGGGATTCAGTTGCATGTGTTCAAGGTTGTGCGACAGAGTCGCAAAGCCTATGTGTTGTGTTGTGTTGTTAGTGTGTGTGTGTGTTTGTATTTGTTCTCTCTCTCTCTCTCTATCTCTCTCTTTCTCTCTTTTGTTGTTCTCTCTCTGTATATATATATATGTATAGACCTATTTCTCTCGTTCAGATCCGACTTCCCGTGCTTGGGCAACCAGCGGGTACACGTTACCGACGCAATGCAGGTTGGATCCACGGGTCGTTGGATTTGCAGGCCAGTGCTGTGGCTCTGCGGGGCAAGGGGCCCCCCGCCCACGAGGAGGTGTGAGCACCGCGGGCTCAATAGACACATCTTCGTTGGCATGTGCAAGTCGTCGAAGAAGAAAAAATCGCCATAAACATAAGTCGGGGGTGGACAGAACCCCCACCCTGACACGTCGATTAGTGGATTGTCCGTTTTCGGTTCTCGAGAGGGCGCCGCGGCCGTCATTTTCCAGGCTTGCGCCCGCCAGGTTTGGGCCCGAGGTCGTTTCCACTAAACCACGTTTTACTAAAGGGGGTTCTGTCCATCCCCGAATAAACTGTTGGCGCTCGGCGCGGATTTCTTGGATCCGCGCTGGGCTCCTCTGGCGGCGCCTCCGGCGCCGCCCCTGGCGCGCTCCGCGCGCCAGGGAGGGGGGTCCAGCGCAGATCCAAGAAATCCGCGCGGAGCGCCGAAAATTTGTGTTTATGCCGTTTTTCCCTACATCCAAAGTGGGGTTCTTGTTTTCTCGAGGCACCCCGCGCAGGAACAAGAGAACACACCCTCTCCTCTTCTCTAATCGCACACTCATTCATTCAATCACTCACAGACATCATCACTCACACTCACTCACCCACTCACTCACCCACTCACACACTCACACACTCACTCACTCAATCACTCACCCACTCACTCACTCACTCACACACACACTCATCATCATCACTCATTCACGCACTCACCCACTCACTCACCCACCTACCCGCCCACTCACTCATTCACTCACTCACACTCTCATCATCATCATCATCATCATCATCATCATCATCATCATCATCATCATCATCATCATCATCATCATCATCATCATCATCGTCATCGTCATCGTCATCGTCATCATCATCATCACCATCACCAGCACCATAACCATAACCATAACCATGACCATGACCATGACCATGACCATGACCACCATCACCATCACCATCACCATCACCATCACCATCATCATTATCATCATCATCATCATCATCATCATCATCATCATCATCATCATCATCATCATCATCATATTCATCTTCACTCACTCACTCATTCACTCACTCACTCGTCTCAGGCGGGAGGTTCGTCTGTGAGTGAATTGCGAGGAAGTGTCAGGCGGGAGCCCCCTCCCCATGGGGCCCGCAGCTCATGTGAGTAATCCGAGCGGGTCATCGGAATCCTGTTTCGTCATTGTTGGCCTCTTCAAGCTTGAATATGGCGGAAGTCTCAGGCGGGAGCTTCGTCTGTGAGTGAATTGCGAGGAAGTCTCAGGCGGGGGGCACCTCCCTGTGAGGCCCGCAGCTCATGGTATTAATCCGAGCGGGTCATCGGGATGTTGTAACTGTCGTCACTTTTGGCCTCTTCAAGCTTGAGTAGGGCAGAAGTCTCAGGCGGTAGCCTCGTTTGTGAGTGACTTGCGAGGAAATCTTAGGCGGGAGCCCCCTCCCTCTGGGGCCCGCAGCTAATGTTATTGATCCAAGCGGGTCATCGGAACCTTGTAACTGTCGTCACGTGCGGGCTCCTGAGGCTTGAGTATGGCGGACGTCTGATGCGGGAGGTTCGTTTGTGAGTGAATTGCGAGGGAGTCTCAGGCGGGAGCCGCTTGCCTATGGGGCCCGCAGCTCATGTTACGAATCCGAGCGGGTCATCGGGATCTTGTAAATGTCGTCACTTTGGGTCTCTTCAAGCTTGAGTATGGCGGAAGTCTGATGCGGGAGCTTCGTCTGCGAGTGAATTGCGAGGAAGTCTTAGGCGGGAGCCTCCTCCTTATGTGGCCCGCAGCTAATGTTATTAATCCGAGCGTGCCGTCGGAATCCTGTACTTTTCGTCACTTTTGGCCTCTTCAAGCTTGAGTATGGCAGAAGTCTCAGGCGGGAGCCTCGCTTGTGAGTGAATTGCAATGAAATCTTAAGCGGGAGCCCCCTCTTTCTGGGGCCCGCAGCTCACGTTACGAATCCGAGCGGGTCATCGGGACCGCGAAACTGTCGTCATTTTTGGCTTCTTCAAGCTTGAGTATGGCAGAGGTCTGATGCGGGAGCTTCGTCTGTGAGTGAATTGCGAGGAAGTCTCAGGCGGGAGCCCCCTCCTTATGGGGCCCGCAGCTAATGTTATTAATCCGAGCGGGTCATCGGAACCGCGAAACTGCCGTCAATTTTGGGTTCTTGAGGGCTGAATATGGGGGCAGTATCAGGCGGGAGCTTCGTCTGTGAGTGACTGGCGAGGAAATCTCAGGCGGGAGCCCCTTCCCTATGGGGCCCGCAGCTCATGTGAGTAATCCGAGCGGGCCATCGGAATCCTGTAACTGTCGTCACTTTGGGTTCCTGCGGCGTGAAGATGGAGGAAGTATCAGATGGGAGTTTCGTCTGTGAGTGAATTGCGAGGAAGTCTCAGGCGGGAGCTCCTCTTTATGGGGCCCGCATATCATGTTCCTAATCCGAGCGGGCCATCGGAACCCTGTAACTGTTGTCACTTTTGGGTTCGCGGGGCGTGCATATGGGGGAAGTGTCGGGCGGGAACCTTGTTTGTGAGTAAACTGCGAGGAAGTCTCCGGCGGGAGCCTCCTCCCTATGTGGCCCGCAGGTCACGTTGTTAATCCGAGCGGGTCATCGGAACATTGTACCTGTCGTCACTTTGGGTTCCTGAGGCCTGTATATTGGGGAGTATGAGGCAGGAGTTTCTTCTGTGAGTGAATTGCTAGGCGGATCAACACGCGCGCTCGTCGCGACTTGCGGCGTCTGGGCGTGCCCCTCGTCTTCCTGCAGGCCGTGGACGAGTGCAACACGATTCAGGGTGATCCCGACGCGGGCCGGCGCATTCTGAACGTCTCGAACATACGCAAGACGAGGGACATCCACGGCGTCGTACTTGCCCACGTCGGCATGGGGGTGCGATTCACTGCAGTGCAGGAGGAGTTGAAGAAGAAGTTTGGGTTCGTGCAAGAGCAACGGGCCACCGTCGCGCCCTCCGAGTTCCACCCCGAGGACGAGCAGCGGCACGAGGAGCGCACGCCAGGCCAGCTCCTTCGCTCCCGCTTCCTACCGCATAGTGGTCTGGCTGCAGGTGCACGGCTTCAAGGAGTCTCCGATCTACCAGGAGGTCGCCGAGCTGTTGCGACAGAGCGCCGAAGGCGCTGACGACGACGGCCAGGCCGAGGCGCGGGCGCGGAGCTTGCTGATGTTCAGGCCCAGTGAGCAGGAGCTCACGTGGCAGAGTTCGGGGCCGTGCGCCGCTCGGGGCTCGCCATGGCGCATGCGCCCTGCCTCACCTCCACGCTGTCGCATCGATTACGCGAGGGGCGAGGGCGCTGGCCGCGCGGGCATGTCGGACGACCAGGGGTGGCTGCGTCTCTGCATCATGTTTTCCCTCGCCACGCGCTTGCGGAACATGCTGACCTCGCGGCCGCCCTCGCGCGAGTTTCTGGAGCAAGGGCCGCCGGCGCCCTTGTGGAAGGCACTCGAGAAGTTCGACGAGATAGGGAAGAGCTCCAGGGCAGCGGTGGAGCAGCTCGCGGCTGAGCTGGGCTTCGTGCTGCTTCTCGCCTGAACACGACTGCGCCCCGCTCGACGCCCGCGGGGTTGCCCCAGCGGCTTGGTCTCGCGCGCCAGCGGCTCGCGGGCTTGCCCCGACGACCTGGCCCGCGGGTTTGTTCCAACGGCTGCGCGACGCGGCCAGTAAACAGCGCGCCCGCGCTGGCCGAGGCGGCGACGGCGCCGAGGAAAACCGACGCGAGCGCCCCTGCCAGGAGAAAGGGGAGGCGCGCGAGGAGATTGGGCGGGGCGGAGATGAGGAGGGGGAGAAGGAGGGGAAGTGAAGGAGGAGTGAGAAAAGGACGAAAAGGACGGATAATACGAGGAGGATGGGGGAGGGAGAGGAAGAGGCGGAGGACGAGGAGGAAGAGGAGGAGGAGGAGGAGGAAGAGGAAGAGGGGGGCGGAAGAGCATGAGGATAAGAAATGCAACGAGTAGAACGAGAATGAATAAGAGGAGGAGAAGGATGAGAAGGAGGAGGGGGAGGAGCAGGAGGAGGAAGAGGACGCAGAGGGCGGAAGGAAGGCCTCCGATGGTGGAAGAAGAAAAGGGGGAGGGACAAACCACATAGATTCTCGTGCGGGGTCCAACCGTCGGAGTAGTTCTTCTTCTGAGTAAGCACGACCATGTGGCATAAACGTACGCGCAGGCGCGTGCAACGTCTCATCAGCATCGTGGGCACAAACACCGCGCGAATACGCGCGGGCAGGCGCACGCGAAGCGACAGCATCAGAAGGGAGGCTGGTGATGAGCGGTGACCTCCTCCTCCTCCTCCTGTTCCCGCAGGAGGACGAGCCGCACGGCCTGGGCACGGAGGATCGCCGCCTCCTCCTCCACCTCCTCCTCCTCTTCCTCCTCCTTTTCCTCCTCCACCTCCTCCTCCTTTTCTTCCTCCTCCTCCTCCTCCTCCTCCGCCTCCTCCTCCCCCTCCCCTTCTTCCCCGCATTATTCGCATGCTTTGCCTCCTCCAGCAGCAGGAGGCGCAGAGGGAGGGAGATGGAGGAGGAGAACAAGGAAAAGGGTGACGAGGCAGAGGGGGAAGAGGAAGGAAGAGGGAGAAAAGGAAGACGGAAGGAAGAGCAAGAGGGAGAGAAATGGGTGAAGGGAGGGAGGTGTTCTAGGATAAAGAGGCGAGGTGGAGGTGAAACGAGAAAGGAAGAGGGAGGGATGGGGGATGGGGGAGGAGGAGGAGGAGGAGGAGGAGGAGGAGGGGGAGGAGGGAGGAGGAAGAGGCGGAGGAGGAGGAGGAGGAGGAGGCGGAGGGAGGAGGAGGAGGAGGAGGGAGGAGGAGGGAGGAGGAGGAGGAGGACGAGAAGCAGGAGCAGGAGCAGGAGAGACAGAGGCCCGAGGCCCGCTCGCGTCTGCCAGTGCCTCGCGCTGTGGCGCGCCGCTCCTCCTTTCGCCGAGGCGGCCGCCGAGGAGCCGCAGGAGGGGGGCGGTGGGTGCCTTTCTCTCCTCCTCCTCCTCCTCCTCCTCCTCCTCCTCCTCCTCCTCCTCCTTCTGCTCCTCCTCCTCCTCCTCCTCCTCCTCCTCCTCCTCCTCCTCCTCCTCCTCCTCCTCCTCCTCCTCCTCCCTCCTCGTCCTTCTGCTCCTGGGCTGATACTTCCCGTGGCGGAGGCCCTCTTGCCCTCGGTGGGGAGGCTGTCCGTTTCCAGCATCGCCGGGTGTGGTCTGGAGACGGACAGCCTCCCTTGAGATCCGACGTTGCGCAAAAAATTACAATATCGAAAAAACAAATCACGCCTAGACCTCCTGTACCACATCTTTCTGCGTCATTTTTCGGGCCGGGTCGATCTGTGAGGGTCCCGGGGCCCGAAATCGAGCGAAAACGCCCGTTGTGAAACAATTGCAACGCCAGGACCTCAGGGCATGCCCTCGTGAACGCTGGGCCTCCACGCCTCCCCGAGCCTGCGCGCGGGGCGCCGGCGGAGGAGTCCGAGTCGGCCCCGTCGTACTTCGGGCAGTTCGTGCGGGGGAAGCGCCACGGCCGGGGGGTGCAGCTGAGCCGGGCGAAGGCAGCGCCCTCCCCCGCACGGGGCCGCGGGGTGCCCGGTGGCCTGGTCGCTGGGACACAGGTCGAGGATCGGGCAGCGCCAGCGGGTGGTCACAACCAGGGGGGGGGGTCACCAGCCAGCCCCCCCCAAAAAACAATGGAAAAGGGGGAACAGGTATGTAACGAAACTCCAGATGAAGCAAGTACGTGTAACACTGCATGGCTTATACGGAACATACCAAACACATCACATTGTAAACATGATCAGAGGAAGCTATGGCAAGCTGCACGTCGGTGGCATTTTGACCAACACCAGCATGCGTGTGCCGTGCCATAGCGTGTTCATCAACAACGGGGTTGCAAAGAAGCATGTTTCGGAGAGCATGAAGCGGTCGTACGGCCCTTGTAATCGAGGGAGGTTCGTTAGCGAAGTGATTTTTTTTTTGAAAAATATTGAATGGCCGGATATGTGACGATCCATGTGTGGGCATACAACGGTGGTTCAAACATTGCAAGCACTGAATGTTCCATATTTGTCACTGTCTTCCCAGGCTCGTTAGCCGAAACATCACATTACAGTGGAGCGGCCTCAGCTGCATCTGCCCCGAGGCAAAACATCACAGGCACCGATGTACTACAACGATTCCGTGCCAGAGCTCAGTGCCAGGAGGAGACATGTATGAGGAGCGAGATCACACATTGCGTTTTCGAGACCTGTCCAAGATCTTCGTGTGCGGCATGGAAGCCAAGACAGTTCGGCAGCCTCAGGTCGACGAGGAGATGAACGACGAAGCCACCATGAGGTGGATGAAGAATCTGAGCGTCCAGCTGGAGGGGCGAGGTCGGTTGTTGGGGCACGAATCCATGAGCATGGGGGTCCTCGACAGGAAACACCAGATCGTAGCCGACGAGAACAAAGCGTACCATCAGCACGCCAAAGCCAGAATCGCGGACCCGACCGACAACCTAGGACCTCAAGCTTAGCAGAGAGCCTACGCGATTCTGCACCTCGCAGTGGGGTTCGGCGAGAGGGCAAGGGTCGAAGGCTCGTCGTGCTTCATTGCATGGCCTGGGCACGGCCAAAGCAGCAGGCCAGGCACAGCAGGAGCTCAGGCCAGAGGCAGCAGCGCCCCTCCCCGCGCCTGACAGGCCGAGCCGGCCCCCCGAAGCCGCGCCCCTTGCTCAGCCTGCGCGGATCAGCAGTGGTGCTAGACGGCGAGAATGACGCCAAACGAATGGCGGGGGCCCTTCAGGTGCAAGATCATCCACTGCACCAGTTGTCCCCGCTGGGGGTGCCGACGGCGCTCTACCGGATGAAAGGGTACCGGGAGTGTGAACTGAAGCGGTGGTGGGTGAGCTGGTTTGTGCTGCCAGTGGGAATCTTAGATCCGTCGGGGCTTCCAGCGGACACGTGGCACGACTGTTGGTGACGAAAGGAACGTTGTTGCCGATTTGCTTTCAAGTGGTATTGCGCGGACTACCTTGTTCGGGCAGCTGTCTGGTTGACGTTCGTGGCCTCCCACGCGCTCCATTGCACCCACCTCCAGGACACCGCTTTCCATTTGGTTGCGTTGCTGATCAATCGAATCTGGCCCCGTGCAGCGGCCAGCGAGGATGATAAGTGTCTGGCATTCCCAGTTTTGTGCGGCCTGTCCGCTGTGATGTGTTGTGGTTCACGTCCAGCCCCCCCGCGCACCGCGCATGCAGCGCCGACGCTGCATCTGCCCCGCGCGTGGCTCGTTATATCTAGTAGGCAGAAGAATCGCATGCTTATACATATATATATACACACATATGTGTGGACATTCCCCCCCCCCACCAAGATCTACCTCATCGTTCTTCTGCAGGGGTCAAACTCATTATGCCTTTTCTTCCTCGCCTCGTCGTGGAGGAGGAGGAAGAGGAGGAGGAGGAAGAGGAGGAGGAGGAGGAGAAGGAGGAGAGGGGGGGGAGGAGGGGGAGAAGCAGCAGCATAATAAAGTAGCAGAAGGATGGAATCAGGAGAAGGATTCCATCAGAGGAGGAAAGCGGAGGAAGGAGTATGAGGAGCAGGAGGCTCCCGCTTGAGAGGTCCCCAAAAAACCAAAACAGGAGGAGGCTCCCACCTGAGAGGTCTCCCAAACAACCAAACAAGATGAGGCTCTCGCCTGAGAGGTCCCCAACAAAAACCAAACAGAAGGAGGCTCCCGCCTGAGAGATCTCCAAATAACGCAAACAGAAGGAGGCTCCCGCCTGAGAGGCCCCCCAAAAAACCCAAAGAAACCCAAACACCATGCCTCTCATCCTTGTACATGTCACAAAAAAAAGTTCCAGAGGAGATGGCGGCCCTCGTCAATGCATCTGGGGCAGCGGCGTCGGTTCTCCTCTGGAACTCTGAGTTTGTTTGTGTTTGCTTTGACAGTTACAGGGATGCTAGGCATGGTGTTTGGGTTTCTTTGGTTTTCTTTTGGGACCTCTCAGGCGGGAACCTCATAGTGCTTGGGTTTGTTCGTGACCTCTCAGGCGGGATCATCCTTCTGTTTGTTTTTTTTGAGGACCTCTCAGGTGGGAGTATCATTCTTTTTGTTTGGTTTTGGACCTCTCAGGCGGGAGCCTCATCTTGTTTGCTTTTTGTTATGGGGACCTCTCATGCGGGAGCTTCATTTTGTTTTGATTTGTTTGGGACCTCCCAGGCGGGAGCCTCGTTTTGATTGTGTGTGTTTGGGACCTCTCAGGCGGGAGTATATGTTTAAGTGTGTGTGTGTGTGAGTGTGTGGAGGATGGGAACGAGGAATGAGAGGGGATGAGGAGGATCAAGAGGAGGTTACAAGGAATGCGAAGATACATATGATGCGGCGGGAGCTGCGGTTTGAGTGTGTGTATGTGTGTTCTGGGAACCTCGCAGGCTGTAGCTGGCGGTGGTGGTAATGATAATGCCATCCAGGAGGAGGAATGGAAGAAGCGGAGGGGGGCGATACTGAGAATAATGGTGATGAGTAGGGTGAGGAGGAGGAGGAGGAGGCGGATGATCAGGAGGAGGAGGAGGAAGAGGAGGAGGAGGAGGATGAGGATGAGAATGATGATCAGGAGGAGTCCGCGAAAACGAGGCTACTTTCAACTGGTACTCGATCAATTGAGTGCTGGCTATTGCATGCGGCCCCGACCAGGGAAACATGCGGGACCCATTGCCTATTGAGCCTCGCGGGCCCGCTTCGACACTGGGCCGAGTCCCTCCCAGGTTTACGCTTGTCTGTCACGTGGGAGGTTCATGCTCTCTTCCTTCCTTTCCTCTTCTCCCTTTCTTTCCTTCCTCCTCCCTCACCCTCACCCTCCTCCTCCTCATTCTCCCTCTCTCTATCTCTCTCCCTCTCTCCCCCTTCTCTCTCTCTGTCTCTGTCTCTTTCTCTCTCTCTCTTGTTTGTTCTCTCTCTCTCTCTCTCCCTCTCATTACTTATTATCTCTCTCTCTCCTTCTCTTGTTCCCTCTCCCCCTCCCTATGTCGGAAGCGCAATGGTTCGTCACTGTTGGAACGCAGTGCTCTGGACCCATCGAAGCGCAATGCTTCGTCCTCGTCGGAAGCGCAATGTGTCCTTCTCGTCGGAAGCGCAATGTTTCCTCCCCGTCGGAAGCGCAATGCTTCCTCCTCGTCGGAACCGCAATGTTTCCTCCTCGTCGGAACGCAAGGCCATGGGCCCGTCGAAGCGCAAGGCTTCTTGCTTGTCGGAAGCGCAATGCCTCCTTTTCGTCGGAAGTGCAATGTTTCCTGTGTGTCGGAAGCGCAATGTTTCCTCTCTGTCGGCGGCGCAATGTTTCCTCCTCGTCGGAAGCGCAATGCTTCATGTTTGGTGGAACGCAGCGTTTTGGATCCATCGAAGCGCAAGACTTCCTCCTCGTCGGGGGCGCGACGTTTCCTCCTTTGTCGGAAGCCCAATGGTTCCTCCTCGTCGGACCGCAATGTCCTGGACCCCTCGAAACGCAAGCCTTCTTGCTCGTCGGAAGCGCAATATTTCCTCCTCGTCGGAAGCGCAATGCTTCCTGTCTGTCGGAAGCGCAATGCTTCCCCCTTGTCGGAAGCGCAATGTTTCCTCTTTGCTGGGGGCGCAATGTATCCTCCTCGCCAGAAAGCGCAATGCTTCCTGTTTCGTGGAACGCAGCGTGCTGGACCCATCGAAGCGCAATGTTTCGCCCTCGTCGGAAGCGTACCGTTTCCTCGCCGTCGGAACTGCAATTGTTTGCCCTACCACTCCTCACTCCTCGTCCTCCTTCCTCATCTTGCTCCTCGCCCTCTCTCCCCCCTCCTCTCCCTCCCCCCCCTTTCCCTCTCTCTCTCTCTCGTCCCCCCCCTGCTGCCTCCCGTTCTCCTTGTTCCCGTTTTATCTCCTATGGTGTATATTTATAGATGGTTTCCCCCAACAGATCATACATTTTATTTTGAATCGTATTCGCGTTCACCAGCTTCTTATCCATACGTTCAGTCTCTTCTTCCGTTCTCCCTCTTCTCCAAACACAGCTCCTCCTCCTCCTCGCCCATCCTCCTCCTCCGCATTATCCTTTCCGTTTCCTCCTCTTTTGCTGTGGCACAAAAACAATAATATACAGTGTTTGGCGCACCCGATGTAAGGACACGCTGTGTAGGTTTGGTTTTGTTGTTTGGTACAGGGTATAAAGAAACATGGTGTGTGTTTGGTGAGTTTGTTTTCTTTGGGAGTTTTGGAAGCTCCAGTGCGCCCCGCGGCCTCCCCCCATAACCTCCTCATGTCCCTTTTCTTCCTTTTTGTTGCAAAGCAAAACGGCCAAACGCACGCAGTGTTTGGCGCCTTCGATGCACGGAAACGCTGTGTATGTTTGGTTGTTCGGTTTTATTTTGGGTTTTTGGATGCAAGGAAACACGGTGTATGGTTTAGCTTGTTGTTTGGGGTTTTGGAAACTCGAATGCTCCCCGCGGCCTCCTCCCAACCTCTCTTTTTTTCTGAACCCCCAGACCCAAAACAACAAAATAACCAAACATACACCATGTGTCCTTGCACCCTAAACCAAAAAGGC